CTTGTCGGGGTGGTCGTCCGGGAGCTGGCAGAGCGAGCCCGTCCCACTCGGTGCTCGGGAGTTATTCTATTCCCCTCTGCTACTACTTTTTCCGCTGCAGTTAATTAGGTCTAAGGACAATGGGTTTCATATGATAGATGTATCTATCAAACGAATACGTTGCAAAAAGTATCACAAGACAATTACTGACTGCTGCATTGCGGATGCTTTCTGACACTGTGAAAGTTCATAGGTGGCTGGGGCGTTCCGAAGTCCATTCGCGCCTTGCGGACATCGGCTCGCTTGGCCTTTTGGTTTGCTACCTTCTAATTTTGAAATGGCACGGGCGCAGCAAAGTTTCATAGACACAGAACAAACAGTCACGGGATCTCCCTCGGAGGCAAAGACAAGATTGACGGGCGCACCAAAGCTGGCCGTGAGAAAAAGGAGGAGGAGGAACGAATGAAGGCCATCCACGAAGAGTGCAACCAGCTCTTCAACCTACTGGATGAGCCTCAGAGCCTGGAAGACTTCAAAGCTGAGGCGAGCCGCTCATCTTGGGACTCGGTTCGGTCGAGCGACTGCGCACTAGCAAGCTAAAGGTTTGATCGGCCTGCTGACTTGGGGCATTTGCCCCAAAGACGCTCAGGTCCCGCGTTGTGTCCCGCGCAGGTCAAGGCTGCCAAGGCGGCCGAGAAGGCCGCAGAGCGCGTCGCGCCTGGCCTCAGGCCACCAAGCCAGGATCCGGTGGGCACCACCCGTGAGCCCCCGAGGAAGAAGTTTCGGCCTCTGGGGCCGACGGAGGAGCTCCTGCAAGAACTGCCAATTGGAAATCTGGTTGTGAGACGAACTTGAAGACAGCATTCAGCATAACGATGCGAAAGCTTTCCTAGGGATTTGAAATAAGAATGCAATGGCATTTCATGGGGATATTCAGGGATTGTCAGATAGCTGCGGCTGGGAACCAAAAAGCGCCAATCACGCCATTTGAGTATAGCTGATTGCCAGAAGCTATTTCGCTTTATTGTCGAAGGAAGTTTGGAAGCTAAACTTTCGACAATATGGACAGATGGAAAAGCACAGCCAGGAAGAAGCTCAGGCATGGAGAAAGTCAGAAGGGAGAAGATCAGAGACGGAGAAAGTCAGAAGAGAGAAGCGTTGTGAAGAGATGAGAGGATCTATTAGCTGAGAAGAGCTCAGAGGAGCTCAGAAGAGCCGAGATGAGCTGAAAAGACTTGAGAAGAGCTGACAAAGGGCTGAGATAAGGAGAGATAAGGAGAGATAAGTTGAGCAGGCTGAGAGGAGGCCCAGAAGAGAAGAGCAGAAAAGAGCTGAAAAGGGCTGAGGTAAGAAGAGGTAAGTTGAGCAGGGCTGAGGGAGGGCTCAGAAGAGAAGAGCTGAGGCGAGCCGAGATTAGATGAGGAGAGATAAATTGAGAAGAGTTGAGAGAAGGCTCAGAAGAGAGATGAGAGGAGATGAGAAGGGCTGAGATGAGATGAGAGGAGGAGAAAGCTGAGAAGGACATGTCAGGAAAAGAGAAGCCAGGAAGAAGACATGTCAAGAGATGGTTTCTGCACTGCGCGTGGGATTGCTTTGATTTGTCTTTGATGCTTCCACCCCGGTTTGCCGACGTACTATTTCTATATTCGCAGATAGACGGACACACAGCCAAACCACGGCTGCTTATATGTCAGGTTTTTAATACTTTTTAATGCGATTATGCATTCAGATAGAAGGATAGATGCGTAGATAGATAGTTCGATCGATAGATAGATAGATATTGCGTCTTTTGCTTTCGCCCAGTCGGCGTAACTTAACTTGGGCACTTGCACATAGCAGTAGAGGCTGCGGTGTTATTTTTCCCTGCGCATCCGGCCACGTTGTATGAAATGCTCCATGTGTTCAAGTTGCCCTGTCCTGCGTTTCTGGTCTAGAGGTCTCTACTTAGGCGTTTGGCTATTGCTGCGGGGACAGAAACATATTCCTTCCTACAGCTTGACATTTCTTGACCCGCTTATGTCTTGCCTTCATTTTGTGGCCACTTCTCTTTCATCCCTTCAGACTGCCCACTTGCCCTGCAGGCTTGTATATATAGATAAATTTGTTTTTGTAGCTACAGTTGCAGGCATACACACGCACACATACACACACACACACATATATATATATATATATACGTGTGTGTGTCTAAGCGCATTAGTTTGAATGGAAATACAATACGATACCAATAGCAACACAAATACGAATTGAAATGCAAATACAAATACCCATGCAAACCGTACAGCCGCAAATCCAAATACAACAATAGTACACATGCAAACGCAAATGCGACTACAAATACAAATACTGCTACAAAAACACAAACATACAATTACAAATTCAGATGCAAATGCCAAATACACATGCGACTACACACGCAAATACAAAAATGCAAGAATATACAAATACAAATGCCAGTGCGAATGTGGCTACTAATGAAAATGCAAACATGCAACATGCAAAAATGCAAAAGCACAATACAACAATATACAAATTAAATACTATGCGTATGCAGTAGCATACCGCACAATGCACTATATAAAAAAACAATATAGTATGCATATACGTACCTATGTGGCGGGGCCCCCAATAGAAGACAGAAGGGCAGTAGGGATCAGTTGTGAACCTTGCCCCGTTGCACTTATCCCTCCCTTATCCTTTCTTATGTTTCATTTTAGAAACATGCTGTCGCTTTGTGAAGGTGTCCGGTTTCGATTTTTCCCAAAACTTGAAAGTGTTATCCGAGACCTGGATGAGGCTGCGCCAAGCGGGCTGAGCATGGTGTTGGCCTCTGGACATGCACGCTGCGTGCTGTGTTTTACATAAGGGTTCTGAGGGAAGTTTGAGGATTCTTTCACATTTGTTTCGGCTCAAGAATGAGAATTTGTGTTTCGTGAAATCTAGGAGCTGCATGGTCATGCTTACATCGGTTCCCGAACTCTTGAGTTTGCAGTGCTCATGTTTTTTAATGAACTATGAATCGCTGTTTCTGAGTTAAGCCAGGCACGCATGGCGCAGAGCGCATTCACAGTTCCTGCGATGGTGGAGAGGACAACTTTGTTTCTTCCCAGCTGAAACGGTGGTTGTTCTCCAACTCAAGCTTTCGAAGTTCATGGCACGTTGAGGCTAGATTTTCAATAAATAGGGATGAACATGCTGAGACCTTTGCTGCAAGTAAGGATGAAAGAAGAAGACGCAACAACGAGCCAAGAGAATCAGAAAGACCGACAGATAGAGATGTTGCAAGGGAAACAGAGAGAGACAGAGAGAGAGAGAGAGGGAGAAGATTGCCGAGCCTTTGAAGGCTTCTCCGTACAGGCCCAAAACAAACGAGTAAATTCAATGTTAGAATCAGTGGAGCGGGATCAGCGTCAGGGATCGTCAGGGATCAGAACCTCTGAGTACGGATCAGCGTCGTCGATCAGCGTCGGGATGGCTGAGGCAGTTGGGACGGTTCTGATGGTCGGGCGGCGATGGTGCTGGATGGCGTGGGAATGTTTGGGATTGCGGGGATGGTTTCGACGGCCGAGATGGCCGGGATGGTTAAAAGGCACAAATGGGACGGTCGATATGGCTGGGACTGGGATGGCCGGGATGGTTGGGCCGGTTCGAAAATGCCAAGTACACATGCAGTGACAACGAACTTCTTGACTTTGTTATTCTGGATTCCATGTCAAGTGTCTAGGAGTGCCCTGGTGCATCTCTTAGGCTTGATTGATCTTTTTGTTTGTGCTGACTTATTTGGCACGCAGCCACGAAGCCTTGTCGGTGTCAGCAAGCGTGAAACCAATGATGTCGGGCCTATTTTGGGCAACTTGCGCGGTAAGGTGCAGTAGTGTATGTTACGGCTACATACGGACAGTTTTGGGGCGTTTGGGGTCATGTTGAGGTAGTTTCAGGGTTATGTTGGCTTTGGCTCAAGGGAGTACAGGCACCTTCATCTAGGTTGGGAGGGTCATGAACAAATGCCCCTTTTTCAACAGCCCTTCCAACATCCCATTGATCTGAAGCAAACAAGTTTCCAGGATGCGTGAGCCTTGCAATTTGACAGGTTCGGCAGAGGACAGCACGGGCATTACTGCGAACCACAGTTGTCACATGTTGTCACATCGTTTTGTACATGGCTGCCGGCTTAATTGGCCCAAGTCGTTTTTTCCTGGCCCTTCTTCCAGCAGTGTGAAACTTGGTAGGCCAGGAATGATCATGTTAGTTCTACCACATCGCATCCAACCAGCTCAATTGCCACAATTCCAAAGCATCAGAAAGTGAGATTCCACGGGGTTGCCGGTGCAGGCACCACAGCAGGCCGTCAGCTTGGGATATCATTAGGTCAAGGAAGGGTTCACATTGTTTCAACCATTTGCGCATTCATTACCCAATGATTTTCACCAGGCGTCCTTTGCACTATCTAATGATATCGTGCAATATTGTTTCCAAGTCTAAAATGGCAATTGAGAGCCACCGCTGTGATGGTTGCATTTCAATTGTACTGCCAGGTTCAAAGCCAGGGCTTGCATTGCAAAAGCTGAACCGAACTCTGCTAGGCCGGTATCATGCCAGCTGGCCGGTGCACTCCAACCAGCAAGGCGCAACGCTTAATAACAGAGACTAGATGCACATAGAGAGTACATACATCGATGTATTGTATTCAGACGTGCACTCAAGACATCTCAAGACTCAAGATGCAAAACATGGCTGGCATGACATGGCAGCCAAGGTGACTAAAGTGAGCACGTTGCGCATGAGCGGCCAGCGATAGGAGAAAATAAGCACATCTTTGCTGCGTGAGAGACTTTGTGCCGAACGGACTGGCAGTGGAAAGCACGTGCCTTTCTTACAAGACTGCTCGTTTCTGGGGTGTTTTCTTTGCCTGACTTTGGCGAGCATTTTGATGAATCTCAACTTCCTTTGTTCAAATACCTGTTTCTTTTTGCATGAACGATCACTGGATGTATGCCTCATGGGCGCTTAGCCGTTTCAGTTCAAAAGTGCAAAGCGTATTGAGATCGTTTGCGATCCACCACTTCAAGCTATGCGGCTTCTTGACTAATGATGATCCAGCACTTTTTTATGAGCTTGACTTTTCCGAAAAAGTCAATATACGGTGAATGCAAGAAAAAGTTGCGCTTCGTGATTTGCAAGGCACTGATTGTGTGCCATAGTCTGTTTTTCAGGCAAGGAGACCCCCAAGACATGAGAAAATTACGGGAAATAATGCTGTGAATTTGGACATACGTTATTTGACAAAAGGCTTAAGGCTGTCTTCGTCAGATTCAGCCTTATTTTCACATCGCTGCAAGGTGTTCCAAGATCCCCGAACAAGTCTTCCATACTTAACTTTTTTGCAGCTATGCTGTGGCTTCCACTTCCAGCAGCCCAGAGGAACAAACCCGAACGTAGAGGACTGCTACTCGTAGCCCTTCTGTCCTTTGCCCTTTGCCCTCAGGAATTCAATAACTTGTTTGCTGCTTGGAAACCTGACACTCAGCTTTGCTGCAATCTCTGCTCCGACCTCTTGCCAGATTACCCAGCAGCTTGGCTTGGCCGGCATGCTCACACCATCTGAGTCTACATTCCACATGTTTATCCATGCCAGACCGTTTGGCATGTTTCTTCGCATGATAGGCCCAGTCCAACTTTTTTTCTGCGCTAAGCCGTGCTGGAACTGACGGAAACTGGCAAACATTACAGGGGCATTCCTTTCACTCTGCTTTCCGTACTGCAAGCAATCCAAGGCCAAATAGACATGAGAGTTATGATGGGAGTGCGCACGGACAGTTTGGATGAAGTCAAGCTCTGCTTAGTTGTGTGCAAAGACAATGAGACCAAGGAGCTCCTTCACGGCCTCAAATCCAACAGAGACCACTGTGTCTGTCAGGGGCACAGCTGGGAAAGCAGTTCTCAGTGCATTGATTCGCTTCAAGCCAGAGGGGCAACGTCGGCAAGCTTAAGGACTGAAAAGGCCTTGTTTCACACCAAATCATTCTGGGTATTTACAGGTCCTTTCCCCTGTGGAAAGCGCAAACCGTTCAAATCTTTGCAGCCCAAGTGTTTGGAGTCAATTGAATTTGACGCACTTGACATCCTCACCTCCCACGGAACAAGCCTGATGCACACAAAATGCTTGCCTGGCCCTTGCCTTTTCTTTGGTTATCTTGGTTTGGGGCATCTATATTTGTCCCCTTTGTGCAAGAATCTGTTTGTACATGCAGCCACTGATCACTGAGGTGACTTCCAATGAAAAAAGGGTGACATTCTCTTTGCAGGCGGGGATGGGATTCGTGCCATGTCATGGCAATATGCTGCCTCTTTTGACATTTGTTTACATACGTGAAGGATGCAGCTGAGGGCACGAGAAGCGCACACGTCATATTATTTCATTCCAAAATTGGTCACTGGACCATGATTTTCATGAACAGTGCCTAGTCGATGTTCCAGGTGGACTTTCAAGGAACATGCACAAGCAGCACTGGTGATACAAGTTGGGTGTCAGCCAGTGGTGTCTCCTGGCTGCGGAATGTCCAACGCTTGACGCAATCATAAAAGGACTCTTTGCACGTTGTATCGTGTTGTGCAGTTGTGCTTCAATTAAATATGCCAGTATACTTCCATATAGTTTGTTTATCCGTTCGAGGCTCGGTTTCCCATTGCCGGACCTGAGCGGCGAGCTCCAGATAGCAGTGGGCACTGCTGGACCTCAGCCGCGGGCTCCACATCTCAGCGCGCACTGCCGCATCTCAACTGCGAGCCCCACCTCAACAGCGAGCCCCAGATCTCAGTGGGCACTGCGGGCCTCAACCGTGGGACCTCAGCCACGAGGCGCTTGCGGTTGAGGCCCGGCAGTGTCCATGTTAGAGAGAATGTCAGAATAGATGCCAGATAGAATATACCAGAAAAGAACGTCAGATACAATGCCAGAATGAATGCCAGAAAAAAATGCCAGAGAGAATGTCAGAATAGGGGCCAGAAAGGATGCCAGATAGGATGTCAGAATAGATGCCAGATAGAATGCCGGAATAGAATGTCAGAAGAGAATGTCAGATAGAATGCCAGAATAGACTGTCAGAAAATATATATGCCATATATATATATACATTTACAATCATATGTATATATATATATTTCTAGATGAGATGTCAGAAACAATGCCAAATTAAAGGACCGGATAACCCCACATGTCAACTTCCTCCAATAAGGACAAGGCAGATTTGAACATGGGATGGGAGAGGCTGGAAAGAGAAAGGCGATGGTGGAAGACAGATTATGTCAAAGAACTGTGTCTGACAGAGTTGTGTATGGAAGTTTGTGTGCGCGCATGCGTGTGTAGAAATTTTATGTGTGTTCAAGACTTGTATGTAAAAAAAGTTGTGTGTGTGTGTGAAAGGTTGTGTGTGACAGAGATGTGGGTAAAAGAGTTTTGCGTGAAAGAGCTGGGTGCGAACGGTTGTTGTTGTGTGTGTGTGTGTGAAAGAGTGCTGTGTAACAATATTGTGACCATGCTGTGTGTGCAAGAGTTGTGTGTGACAAAGCTGTTCGTGTGAACGACTTGTGTGCGTGTGTGTGAAAGAGTTGCGCGCACGTGACAATGTTGTGTGTGTGTGTTGGTGAAGAGTTGTGTGTGTGGGGGGGTGTGACAATGTTGTGTGTGAAAGGGTTGCGTGTGTGTGTGAAAGACTGTGTGTGACAAAGTTGTGTGTGTGTGACAGCGTTGTCCGTGAAGGAGTTGCGTGTGAAAATGTTGCGGGTGACAAAATGTGTGCACGATTTGTGGTGCAGTAAGCAGCATGCCTGCCACACAAAAGCCCAAAAGCCATGTCAATGCCTCCAAGGCGTGGATGCCATGAACTGAGATTGAAAGAGTTGTGTGTGACAAAGTTGTGTGTGACAAAGCTGTGTGTAACAAAGTTGTGTGTGACAAACGGACGGCGCTGGCGGGCGGGCGAGCCGGTGGGCAGACGGGAATGCACAACTAGAAACAAGAACCCCACACAAAGATGTGGGGAATAAATTGTCACGGTGGGATCACTCGAAGTAAGGGATTTTTTTCGATATGCATTGCGCTACTTATTTCACGCTAAAACTGGAGAGCGAGGCTCGAAGCTACTATGTGCAGGGAATTGACAGCACCAACAGCAAGACCGGAGAGACATTTAACGGCGTGGAAGTCAAAGACGAACAGGATTCGCTTGCCAAAACCCATCAAGCCAAAGCCAGCGGGTGATAGATTCATGCCGAACTCTTGGCTAACCGTTCCAACGAATTAAATTACCAAACACAGTGTCTTTTTTCACTGGCGATGCAAATGGCCTGACATGCTGGGTGAAGCTTAGACACTTCGATGACGAGAGAAGCCCTTACTTGATCCCAGAATTCAATAGAACTATGTAAAATTGCAGGTGGGTGGGTGCCTGCTGCGCTTTCTGGTTCCCGACTTTGACAGGACAACATAGCCTTTAAGTACGGCTCTAGGTGGACTGACCAAGCATGCGTCTCCGAGGAGTTTAAAGGCACTTGGACAGCAGGCAGGGCTTCCAATCATGCGATTTTTTTGCGTAGAAACTTGGACCGAATGCAGTCTTTGCACATTTTCCCCTTTGCAGGCAGTGAAGTTTGCGATTCAACAAGCGGAACCATTTCTGGCACAGATTGCAGAGACTTGTTCAACGCAGTGGAAGCTTCGATATGCTGGCAGATACCTAGTCCTGTCGTTTGCATTGACAGCAAACTAGTGTCTGGCACCCTCAGTGCATACGTGCCTTGCTTGCAATGGTTAAGAAGTATGCGCAAGAGTAGGGCGTGTTGAAATTCACTCCCAGGACGCCCCATTGCTTCAATGTGTGCCAAGATAGACCCACAGCCAGCTTGCGGTAGCATGTTCGTGACTTCTTTGAGCTCAAGCAAGGGCAAAAAGTGGCAGAAAGATGCAGACATGTTCTATCAAATTCTGCTTTTCGCAAACTTGTCCTCACACAGCGGTTGCTTTTTTCGTAATGTTGTGCCACTTTGGTGCAGCATCAGTAGAGCCCATTGAGGCAAGCTTGCGATTGGTGGCTGCTGGGGAGACTGTCACCAGCAGCCCGAGCATCGTCTTGGAGTCTTGACAAGCAATATTTGAGACGATTATAAATTATATGCTTACGATTTTATATGATATGATATGAAAGTACGAAAATGACGGACTTTGGTACCTTATTTAATTTTTGAACCATCTTGCAATATTTAGATAATTCCGCCTCAGCTGAAGTCTTTCCTTTGACTTTTGGGGCGCAAGCTTGAGCAAAGGTAAAACGCTCAGAAAGGAATAATTAGATGACGTTTCTTTACAGGTACTGTTAAGTGTAAACGCATTTGTACATACATACATACATACATACATACATACATACATACATGCATCCACACATATATGTATATATACATGCGGTTGTATTTGTATACATTTGAAACCATATGAACATACATGTGTATCCTAAATATAGATATATATATATACCTAAATATATATATATATTTATTATTTACATATATATATATACACATACATACACATATATATATATATATGGCCCAGGGTTTGGCGGTCCCCCCTCATCCCGAGATGGTGATAGCTTCTTTATGTATTTGGAAATTTACAAGATTATACAAGTATGTGCGTATCTATATGTAAACAAATAGATTAATATACGTGTACATGTGGGTAGTACATAAATATATATATGTGTGTGTGTGTATTTGTGTACATGTATATATATATATACAGAGATACATACATACATACATACATACGTAAATATACACTTTTATACATACATATGTATATATATATATACATATACACATGCTGTTTATATATACACATGGGATCCTCCTTGGAAAAATCTCTATAAAATAGATCACCTGGGGGTACGATTCTATAGAGATGAGGCTGGTAGGCCAGTGTTTACTATAGAATGGTACCTGGATTGCGCCCATCCAGTTTACATACCCAAAAGTGACACCAAACTTGAGGCATTGCAAACCCAGTTTTCTATTCTATTGGGGGTCTTTTTCCTAATCACTTGGACTCAGGTTTTCATTTTATAGTGGATTGTTTGTTAGATTTTGTTACAAGCAGTGGCCAGTATGATTAGCCTCATACTGGCCACCGCTTCTAACAAGTAATCCACTATAGAATGAAAAACTGGGTCCCAGTGATTAGGTGCCCCCTACAGAATAGAACCCGCTATTTCCAAGGCCCAAAATGTGGTTCACGTTTGGGCTAGCACCTTTCAAAAATCCTTCGGAACCTTTTTTAGAAGAGTGGTTGGATCTCCATTTTAAAGGAGCAGCCCTGCACAAAACTGATTCGTTAACAGTGTTGACCACTTATTCGTTTACAATATGTTTCAATATTTTACAGTATTATTGCCCACTGACACCCCCCCTTCCACTCCTATAAAATGAAAACCCAGCCTCATACTGGCCACCGCTTCTAACAAATAATCCACTATAGAATGAAAACCTGAATCCAAGTGATTAGGTGCCCCCTATAGAATAGAAACCGCTATTTCCAAGGCCCAAAATGTGGTTCACGTTTGGGCTGGCACCTTTCAAGCAAAAAAATCCTTCGGAACCATTTTTAGAAGAGTGGTTGGATCTCCATTTTGTAGGAGCAGCCCTGCTAAAAACTGATTCGTTAACAGTGTTGATTACTTTTTCGTTTACAGTATGTGTCAATATTTTACAGTATCATACAGTATTTACAATATTATTGCCCACTGACACCTCCCCTTCCACGCCTATAAAATGAAAACCCAGCCTCATACTGGCCACCGCTTCTAACAAATCATCCACTATAGAATGAAAAACTGGGTCCCAGTGCTTAGGAAACATGCCCCCTACAGAATAGAAACCGCTATTTCCAAGGCCCAAAATGTGGTTCACGTTTGGGCTGGCACCTTTCAAGCAAAAAAATCCTTGGGAACTTTTTTTTAGAAAAGTGGTTGGATCTCCATTTTAAAGGAGCAGCCCTGCAGAAAACTGATTCGTTAACAGTGTTGATTACTTATTCGTTTGCAGTATGTGTCAATATTTTACAGTATCACACAGTATTTACAATATTATTGCCCACTGACACCTCCCCTTCCACTCCTATAAAATGAAAACCCAGCCTCATACCCACCGCTTCTAACAAATAATCCACTATAGAATGAAAACCTGAGTCCAAGTGATTATAAAATGGAAATCCAACCCCCCTCTATAAAATAGGCACCAAGTAGATTCTTTTGTGGAATGGTGCCAGCCCAGATCCACAAAGTGAAACCATACTTAAGGCATTGCAAACCCAGTTTTCTATTCTATAGGGGTCTTTTTCCGAATCACTTGGACTCAGGTTTTCATTTTATAGTGGATTATCTGTTAGAAGCAGTGGCCAGTATGATGCTGGGTTTTCATTTTATAGGAGTGGCAGGGGGCTGTTGGTTTTCTTGGGTTTCTATTCTATAGGGAAAATCCCCCCCCTTAGTCCCGGGTTTGCGCTTTAGTCCCTATAGAATGGAACCCCCAGGTTTGGTTCGAATTCCAACAGGGATCACATGGGTACGTTTGCATCTGTATATGTATATCTCTATTTCCCCAACCTGGGACGTGGCTGGGGGTGGTGGAGGCTGCAGGGGCCGTGAAAACAAGATATGGGACCACGTATGCATATGCGTGGACATGCATATCAATTAAAGGACCAGATAACCCCACATGTTAAGCCTTCCGATTGTTATGAGACGAGGGTGATGACTTGGGATATCTTGGGATGGTGGGAGCAGATAGGTGGATGGATAGATAGATAGATAGATAGATAGAAGGATAGATAGATAGATAGATAGATAGATAGATAGATAGATAGATAGATAGATAGATAGATAGATAGATAGATAGATAGATAGATAGATAGATATAGATAGATAGATAGATAGATATAGATAGATATAGATAGATATAGATAGATATAGATAGATATAGATAGATAGATAGATAGATAGATATAGATAGATAGAGATAGATAGAGATAGATAGATAGATAGATATAGATAGATGTAGATAGATGTAGATAGATATAGATAGATATAGATAGATATAGATAGATAGATAAATAGATAGATAGATAGATAATCCCCCAAAAAAAATCCAATCCATTATCAGGACCCCCGGGGGTCCGCCAAAACCATTTTTTTGGACAGCCCTAAGTGCCTGCAAGGATATGCAATTACAGGTTCCTGATTTTGGAGAGGGAACATGTTGTAGTTGGCTGAAACTGTAGGTTCCTCATTCTGTAGAGGTTTTAGGGTGTGTCAACATTCACGTGCATAAATATATGTACAAATTTTATTGATGTTACAAAAACTGGAAATGTGGAACAGGAATTGCCTTTACAAAATGGATTCTTGTAAAATTCATGGTTTTCAGGGGAGACCAAGGTTCTTTCACATCACCCCTCTACAAAATGGATCTTTGTATTTTTGAGGGCTTGCTTTATTCCAAGTAGCAATTCTGCTCAAATGTGTGCTCATGTCAGGTTCCCCACTTTGTAGAGGCCAACGGTTCTGAAAATCACAAAAGTGCACCAAAAAAAAAAGGTTGGGTGCCCTGATTTTGTAGGGAAAACCCCTTGCTAGATTTGCGGCAGGTTCCTCATTCTGTAGAGCCCTGGGGCCCCAAAAGCCAGATTTGGCTCTACAAAATGGGGACACCCAACGCCCCCAGGTCATCTTTTGGGGGTATGATAGATAGATAGATAGATAGATTAGATTAGATTAGATTAGATTATTTTAGATTAGATTAGATGGATGGAAAGATGGATAGATGGATAGATGGATAGATAGATGGATAGATAGATGGATAGATCGATCGATCGATCGATAAACCGATAGGAAACCAGTCTGAAACCAGTCGGAAACCAATCTGAAACCAGTCTGAAACCAGTCGGAAACCAGTCGGAAACCTGTCGAAAAACCATTCGGAAACCAGTCGGAAACCAGTCGGAAACCAGTCGGAAAACAGTCGGAAACCAGTACTACTCCGCACAAACTACTTCCCAGTAACTACTGTGTACTACAAAGCTCGCACGTATACTACATTGCACTACAAAGCTCGCACAAACTACTTCCCAGTACTACTTTGCACTACAAAGCTTGCACAAACACGTCCCCAGTACTACCGTATACTACAAAACCAGCACAAAGCCGCTTCAGTACTACCGTATACTACAAAGCTCGCACAAAGTCGCTCCCAGTACTACCGTATACTGCAAAACCCGCACAAAGTCGCTTCAGTACTACCGTATACGACAAAATCCGCACAAACACGATGCAGTACTACCGTATACTACAAAACTTGCACAAACACGTTGCAGTACTACCGTATACTACAGAACTCGCACAAAGTCGCTCCAGTACTACCGTATACTACAAAACTTGTACAAACACGTTGCAATACTACCGTATACTACAAATCTTGCACAAACACGTTCAAATACTACCGTATACTACAAAACTTCTGACACCAGTCGGAAACCAGTTTGAAACCACTCTGAACCAGACTGAAACCAGTCAAAAACCGGTCGGAAACCAGTCGGAAACCATTCTGAACCAGTCTGAAACCAGTCGGAAACCTGTCGGAAACCAGTCCGAAATCAGTCGAAAACCTGTCGGAAACCTGTCGGAAACCAGTCGGAAACCAGTCGGAAACCAGTTGGAAACCAGTCGGAAACCAGTCGGAAACCAGGTGAAAACCAGTCGGAAACCAGTCGAAAACCAGTCGGAAACCAGTACTACACAAACTACTTCCCAGTACTACTGTGTACTACAAAGCTCGCACAAACTATATATATACTTCCCAGTACTACATTAGACTACAAAGCTCGCACAAACTACTTCTCAGTACTACTTCGTGCTACAAAGCTTGCACAAACACGTCCCCAGTACTGCCGTATACTACAAAACCAGCACAAAGTCGCTTCAGTACTACCGTATACTACAAAGCTCGCACAAAGCCGCTCCCAGTACTAAACTCGCACAAACACGTTCCAGTACTACCGTATACTACAAATTCCGCACAAACACG